TCCTGCTCCACCTCCTCCTGCTCCTCCTGCTCCTCCTCCTGCTCCTCCTCCTGCTCCTCCTCCTGCTGCTCCTCCTCCTGTTCCTCCTGCTCCTCCTCCTCCTGCTCCTCCTCCTGCTCCTCCTCCTGCTACTCCTCCTCCTGCTCCACCTCCTCCTGCTCCTCCTCCTCCTGCTCCTCCTCCTGCTCCTCCTCCTGCTCCTCCTCCTGCTCAACCTCATCCTCTTGCTCCTCCTCCTGCTCCTCCTGCTCCTCCTCCTGCTCAACCTCGTCCTCTTGCTCCTCCTCCTGCTCCTCCTGCTCCTTCTGCTCCTTCTCCTCCTGCTCCTCCTCCTGCTCCTCCTCCTGCTCCTCCTGCTCCTCCTCCTGCTCCTCCTCCTGCTCCTCCACCTGCTTCTCCTCCTCCTGCTCCTTCTCCTGCTCCTCCTCCTGCTCCTCCTCCTGCTCCTCCTCCTGCTCCTCCTCCTGCTCCTCCTGCTCCTCCTGCTCCTCTTCCTGCTCCTCCTCCTGCTCCTCCTGCTCCTCCTCCTCCTGCTCCTCCTACTGCTCCTCCTGCTCCTCCTCCTGCTCCTCCTCGTCCTCCTCCTCCTGCTCATCCTCCTGCTCCTCCTCCTGCTCCTCCTCCTGCTCCTCCTCCTGCTCCTCCTCCTCCTGCTCCTCCTCCTGCTCCTCCTGCTCCTCCTCCTGCTCCTCCTCCTGCTCCTCCTCCTGCTCCTCCTGCTCCTCCTCCTAATCCTGCTCCTCTTCCTCCTGCTCCTCCTCCTGCTCCTCCTCCTGCTCCTCCTGCTCCTCCTCCTGCTCCTCCTCCTCCTCCTGCTCCTGCTCCTCCTCCTGCTGCTCCTGCTCCTCCTCCTGCTGCTCCTCCTCCTGTTCCTCCTGCTCCTCCTCCTCCTCCTCCTCCTGCTCCTCCTCCTGCTCCTCCTCCTGCTCCTCCTGCTCCACCTCCTCCTGCTCCTCCTCCTGCTCCTCCTCCTGCTCCTCCTCCTGCTGCTCCTCCTCCTGTTCCTCCTGCTCCTCCTCCTGCTCCTCCTCCTGTTCCTCCTCCTCCTGCTCCTCCTCCTGCTCAACCTCCTCCTGCTCCTCCTCCTCCTGCTCCTCCTCCTGCTCCTCCTCCTGCTCCTCCTCCTTGCTCCTCCTGCTCCTCCTCATCCTGCTCATCCTTCTCCTGCTCCTCCTCCTCCTGCTCCTCCTCCTGCTCCTCCTCCTGCTCTTCCTCCTCCTGCTCCTTCTCCTGCTCCTGTTCCTCCTGCTCCTCCTCCTGCTCCTCCTTCTCCTGCTCCTCCTCCTGCTCCTCCTCCTGCTCCTCCTCCTGCTCCTCCTCCTGCTGCTCCTCCTCCTGCTCCTCCTGCTCTTCCTCCTCCTGCTCCTCCTCCTGCTCCTTCTCCTCCTGCTCCTCCTCCTGCTCCTCCTGCTCCTCCTCCTGCTCCTCCTGCTCATCCTCCTGCTCCTCCTCCTGCTCCTCCTGCTCCTGCTCCTCCTGCTCCTCCTCCTGTTCCTCCTCCAGCTCCTCCTCCTCCTGCTCCTCCTCCTCCTGCTCCTCCTCCTGCTACTCCTCCTCCTGCTCCTCCTCCTGCTCCTCCTGCTCCTCCTCCTGCTCCTCCTCCTGCTCCTCCTCCTGTTCCTCCTCCTCCTGCTCCTCCTCCTCCTGCTCCTCCTGCTCCTCCTCCTGCTCCTCCTCCTGCTCCTCCTCGTCCTCCTGCTCCTCCTCCTCCTGCTCAACCTCATCCTCTTGCTCCTCCTCCTGCTCCTCCTCCTGCTCCTCCTGCTCAACCTCGTCCTCTTGCTCCTCCTCCTGCTCCTCCTGCTCCTTCTCCTGCTCCTTCTCCTCCTGCTCCTCCTCCTGCTCCTCCTCCTGCTCCTCCTGCTCCTCCTCCTGCTCCTCCTCCTGCTCCTCCACCTGCTTCTCCTCCTCCTGCTCCTTCTCCTGCTCCTCCTCCTGCTCCTCATCCTGCTCCTCCTCCTGCTCCTCCTCCTGCTCCTCCTGCTCCTCTTCCTGCTCCTCCTCCTGCTCCTCCTGCTCCTCCTCCTCCTGCTCCTCCTACTGCTCCTCCTGCTCCTCCTCCTGCTCCTCCTCCTGCTCCTCCTCCTCCTGCTCATCCTCCTGCTCCTCCTCCTGCTCCTCCTCCTGCTCCTCCTCCTGCTCCTCCTCCTCCTGCTCCTCCTCCTGCTCCTCCTGCTCCTCCTCCTGCTCCTCCTCCTGCTCCTCCTCCTGCTCCTCCTCCTCCTCCTAATCCTGCTCCTCTCCTCCTGCTCCTCCTCCTGCTCCTCCTCCTGCTCCTCCTGCTCCTCCTCCTGCTCCTCCTCCTCCTCCTGCTCCTGCTCCTCCTCCTGCTGCTCCTGCTCCTCCTCCTGCTGCTCCTCCTCCTGTTCCTCCTGCTCCTCCTGCTCCTCCTCCTCCTGCTCCTCCTCCTGCTCCTCCTCCTGCTCCTCCTGCTCCACCTCCTCCTGCTCCTCCTGCTCCTCCTCCTGCTCCTCCTCCTGCTCCTCCTCCTGCTGCTCCTCCTCCTGTTCCTCCTGCTCCTCCTCCTCCTGCTCCTCCTCCTGCTCCTCCTCCTGCTACTCCTCCTCCTGCTCCACCTCCTCCTGCTCCTCCTCCTCCTGCTCCTCCTCCTGCTCCTCCTCCTGCTCCTCCTCCTGCTCAACCTCATCCTCTTGCTCCTCCTCCTGCTCCTCCTCCTGCTCCTCCTGCTCAACCTCGTCCTCTTGCTCCTCCTCCTGCTCCTCCTGCTCCTTCTCCTGCTCCTTCTCCTCCTGCTCCTCCTCCTGCTCCTCCTCCTGCTCCTCCTGCTCCTCCTCCTGCTCCTCCTCCTGCTCCTCCACCTGCTTCTCCTCCTCCTGCTCCTTCTCCTGCTCCTCCTCCTGCTCCTCATCCTGCTCCTCCTCCTGCTCCTCCTCCTGCTCCTCCTGCTCCTCCTGCTCCTCTTCCTGCTCCTCCTCCTGCTCCTCCTGCTCCTCCTCCTCCTGCTCCTCCTACTGCTCCTCCTGCTCCTCCTCCTGCTCCTCCTCCTGTTCCTCCTCCTCCTGCTCATCCTCCTGCTCCTCCTCCTGCTCCTCCTCCTGCTCCTCCTCCTGCTCCTCCTCCTCCTGCTCCTCCTCCTGCTCCTCCTGCTCCTCCTCCTGCTCCTCCTCCTGCTCCTCCTCCTGCTCCTCCTCCTCCTCCTAATCCTGCTCCTCTTCCTCCTGCTCCTCCTCCTGCTCCTCCTCCTGCTCCTCCTGCTCCTCCTCCTGCTCCTCCTCCTCCTCCTGCTCCTGCTCCTCCTCCTGCTGCTCCTGCTCCTCCTCCTGCTGCTCCTCCTCCTGTTCCTCCTGCTCCTCCTGCTCCTCCTCCTCCTGCTCCTCCTCCTGCTCCTCCTCCTGCTCCTCCTGCTCCACCTCCTCCTGCTCCTCCTGCTCCTCCTCCTGCTCCTCCTCCTGCTCCTCCTCCTGCTGCTCCTCCTCCTGTTCCTCCTGCTCCTCCTCCTGCTCCTCCTCCTGCTCCTCCTCCTGCTACTCCTCCTCCTGCTCCACCTCCTCCTGCTCCTCCTCCTCCTGCTCCTCCTCCTGCTCCTCCTCCTGCTCCTCCTCCTGCTCCTCCTGCTCCTCCTCATCCTGCTCATCCTTCTCCTGCTCCTCCTCCTCCTGCTCCTCCTCCTGCTCCTCCTCCTGCTCCTCCTGCTCCTGTTCCTCCTGCTCCTCCTCCTGCTCCTCCTTCTCCTGCTCCTCCTCCTGCTCCTCCTCCTGCTCCTCCTGCTCCTCCTCCTGCTGCTCCTCCTCCTGCTCCTCCTGCTCTTCCTCCTCCTGCTCCTCCTCCTCCTGCTCCTTCTCCTCCTGCTCCTCCTCCTGCTCCTCCTGCTCCTCCTCCTGCTCCTCCTGCTCCTCCTCCTGCTCCTCCTCTTCCTGCTCCTCCTGCTCCTCCTCCTGCTGCTCCTCCTCCTGTTCCTCCTCCTGCTCCTCCTCCTGCTCCTCCTCCTGCTCCTCCTCCTGCTCCACCTCCTGCTCCTCCTGCTCCTCCTCCTGCTCCTCCTCCTGCTCCTCCTCCTGCTCCTCCTGCTCCTCCTGCTCCTCCTGCTCCTCCTAATCCTGCTCCTCTTCCTCCTGCTCCTCCTCATGCTCCTCCTCCTGCTCCTCCTCCTGCTCCTCCTGCTCCTCCTCCTGCTCCTCCTGCTCCTCCTCCTGCTCCTCCTCCTGCTCCTCCTCCTGCTCCTCCTCCTGCTCCTCCTGCTCCTGCTCCACCTCCTCCTGCTCCTCCTCCTGCTCCTCCTCCTGCTCCTGCTCCTCCTGCTCCTCCTGCTCCACCTCCTCCTGCTCCTGCTCCTGCTCCTCCTGCTCCTCCTCCTGCTCCTCCTCCTGCTCCTCCTGCTCCACCTCCTCCTGCTCCTCCTCCTGCTCCTCCTGCTCCTCCTCCTGCTCCTCCTGCTCCACCTCCTCCTGCTCCTCCTCCTGCTCCACCTCCTCCTGCTCCTCCTCCTGCTCCTCCTCCACCTGCCCCTCCTCCTGCTCCTCCTCCTGCTTCTCCTCCTGCTCCTCCTCCTGCTCCTCCTCCTGCTCCTTCTCCTCCTGCTCCTCCTCCTGCTCCTCCTGCTCCTCCTCCTGCTCCTTCTCCTCCTGCTCCTTCTCCTCCTGCTCCTCCTCCTGCTCCTCCTGCTCCTGCTCCTCCTCCTGCTGCTCCTCCTCCTGCTCCTCATCCTGCTCCTCCTCCTGCTCCTCCTCCTGCTCCTCCTCCTGCTCTTCCTGCTCCTCCTGCTCCTCCTTCTGCTCCTCCTCCTACTGCTCCTCCTGCTCCTCCTCCTGCTCCTCCTCCTGCTCCTCTTGCTCTTCGTCCTGCTCCTCCTCCTGCTCCTCCTCCTGCTACTCCTCCTGCTCCTCCTCCTGCTCCTCCTCCTCCTGCTTCTCCTCCTGCTCCTCCTCCTCCTGATCCTCCTCCTGCTCCTCCTCCTGCTCCTCCTCCTGCTCCTTCTCCTCCTGCTCCTTCTCCTCCTGCTCCTTCTCCTCGTGCTCATCCTCCTGCTCCCCCTCCTGCTCCTCCTGCTCCTCCTCCTGCTCCTCCTGCTCCTCCTCCTTGTCCTCCTCCTGCTCATCCTCCTCCTGCTCCTCCTCCTGCTCCTCCTCCTCCTGCTCCTCCTCCTGCTCCTCCTCCTGCTCCTCCTTCTGCTCCTCCTCCTCCTGCTCCTCCTCCTCCTCCACTGTAGGGAGGTCGGGAGGCTCCTCCTCCTAAGAACTTCATTAGATTTATTGGCTGGTTGGGGAGGCCATAATAAGTTTGCGAGGTCTGAAACTCCAGGCCAAACATAAACAAACTTCCGTTATCTCCGAAAAAGTAAGATGGATTGATGGCCAAGCTGTGGAGGTCTGGCTAAATTCATAAGATGTCCATTGTTTCACAAGAGATAGCATGAATCGGATAAGAAATACACTATTAATTCTTATACACTGGTCCATGCATACAATTAGTATATTAGTGGGCTACGTTAGAGAAGGAGAAGATCAAGGGAGGAGAGGAGAAGAGGAGGGCCGGGTTGCCCGGAGCCCAGAGAGTGCCCAGAGGGGCCAGAGAGCCAGGGGCAACCCTGATGTTTATGTTGGCTGGATAGCATGTGCTCCCGTGCATGTGAGGTTGCTCTCAACAGAAGTCGTTCCTTGCACGAGATTGGCTGAAACGCTGAGTAACCACTCAGAGGTATAGTGGTTAAGCAGTGGAGACGGTATAGTGGAAAAACAGTGGAGATTTCTGAAGCAAAGTTTAAGATTTGCAGTTGTCAAATTATATTGAGCCGATCCATATGGCAAGTGAAATAAAGAAGACTTGAAGTGTGTTGCTAAAAAAATCTTGGAGGAAAGAGAGGATACATGTGTGCCTCTTGGAGAAGGAAAGGCATTGCTCAAAACTGTGCTGCAAGGTCACGTGCCATGAATCACATGAGTTTAGAAAAAACGTGACTGTAAACCAACAAGCTTGTGAATAATTATCATGGTGAAGACACCTCTATACGTTGGATACTGAAGGAAAACCATCGTGCTACGCATCGTCAAAGCACAACAACACCTGACATTTGAGAAGTACAATTTCATCGTTCTACACATCGTCAATACCCTACAACACCTGGAAAGTCACCAGCTGCATCAAGCATCTGACTGTTGTATTGTTCGAAAGACACTGTGTGTAACGACTTTACATCCACCGGCACAGCGGATTTCTAAACGCCTGCCATGTCACCTTCTCAACACTAGCGTCAGAGACCGTCTGATACAGACTGAAAGCTGATTTCCTTTGTTGCACTGTTTGTCTTTTCATGAATGTCATATTGTGCACTGGGTTATGCCTTATTAACCTAAATTCTGAATTTAGCTATTCATGTATTTCTATTACAGTATCACATATTCTTTGGACCAAGTGTCAATTGCCTATTTGATGACTGGTACTCTGATTATTTTTTACAAATAAGGGACTTGTTTTATTTAAAATGTGTCTGTGTGTGTGGTTGAACAGTGTAACAAATCCATGCGTTACATGTGTAGTGTTGCAGCGCCGACCTGGGCAAGGCCTATGATACAATCAGTAGGCCAGGGCTCTGGATTGTTATTCGTGTTTTCAGAGTTCCTTACCCTCTGCTCACAATGAGTAAGGACCTTCACGATGGTGGGCAGGCCCGGATAAAGTTGCGTGCCCGGGAGTCAGAGCAATTTCCTGTTTACAGTGGGGTGTGACAGGGATCTACAGTGAGGGAAAAAAGTATTTGATCCCCTGCTGATTTGTACGTTTGCCCACTGACAAATAAATCATCAGTCTATAATTTTAATGGTAGGTTTATTTGAACAGTGAGAGCGAGAATAACAACAACAAAATCCAGAAAAACGCATGTCGAAACTGTTATAAATTGATTTGCATTTTAATGAGGGAAGTGAGTATTCGACCCCCTCTCAATCAGAAAGATTTCTGGCTATCAGATGTATTTTATACAGGTAATGAGCTGAGATTAGGAGCACACTCTTAAAGGGAGTGCTCCTAATCTCAGCTTGTTACCTGTATAAAAAAACACCTGTCCACAGAAGCAATCAATCAATCAGATTCCAAACTCTCCACCATGGCCAAGACCAAAGAGCTCTCCAAGGATGTCAGGGACAAGATTGTAGACCTACACAAGGCTGGAATGGGCTACAAGACCATTGCCAAGCAGCTTGGTGCGAAGGTGACAACAGTTGGTGTGATTATTCGCAAATGGAAGAAACACAAAAGAACTGTCAATCTCCCTCGGCCTGGGGCTCCATGCAAGATCTCACCTCGTGGAGTTGCAATGATCATGAGAACGGTGAGGAATCAGCCCAGAACTACACGGGAGGACCTTGTCAATGATCTCAAGGCAGCTGGGACCATAGTCACCAAGAAAACAATTGGTAACACACTACGCCGTGAAGGACTGAAATCCTGCAGCGCCTGCAAGGTCCCCCTGCTCAAGAAAGCTCATATACATGCCCGCCTGAAGTTTGCCAATGAACATCTGAATGATTCAGAGGACAACTGGGTGAAAGTGTTGTGGTCAGATGAGACCAAAATGGAGCTCTTTGGCATCAACTCAACTCACCGTGTTTGGAGGAGGAGGAATGCTGCCTATGACCCCAAGAACAGCATCCCCACCGTCAAACATGGAGGTGGAAACATTATGCTTTGGGGGTGTTTTTCTGCCAAGGGGACAGGACAACTTCACCGCATCAAAAGGACGATGGACGGGGCCATGTACCATCAAATCTTGGGTGAGAACCTCCTTCCCTCAGCCAGGGCATTGAAAATGGGTCGTGGATGGTTATTCCAGCATGACAATGACCCAAAACACACGGCCAAGGCAACAAGGGAGTGGCTCAAGAAGAAGCACATTAAGGTCCTGGAGTGGCCTAGCCAGTCTCCAGACCTTAATCCCATAGAAAATCTGTGGAGGGAGCTGAAGGTTCGAGTTGCCAAACGTCAGCCTCGAAACCTTAATGACTTGGAGAAGATCTGCAAAGAGGAGTGGGACAAAATCCCTCCTGAGATGTGTGCAAACCTGGTGGTCCAACTACAAGAAACGTCTGACCTCTGTGATTGCCAACAAGGCTTTTGCCACCAAGTACTAAGTCATGTTTTGCAGAGGGATCAAATACTTATTTCCCTGATTAAAATGCAACTCAATTTATAACATTTTTGACATGCGTTTTTCTGGATTTTGTTGTTATTCTGTCTCTCACTGTTCAAATAAACCTACCATTAAAATTATAGACTGATCATTTCTTCGTCAGTGGGCAAACGTACAAAATCAGCAGGGGATCAAATACTTTTTTCCCTCACTGTATGTGAGGAGTCTGTGGGTCGCAACATCACGTACGGCTGGAAGTAGGACATTCCAGACTAAGAGGGTTCATGATGGCAATGTCAACGACACTGAACCAGCCAGCACAACTCACTGCCAATAACACATATCCACATAATTCACTCTTAAGCAATTGTTCAATCAATTAATTGAATCACTACAATTAAAACCAAAGAATCTCCCAGAACAAACACTTCGCACTCTCCTCCGTCAGCCACCTGCATCGACAATAGAAACGCATCAGTCCAGCAGTGGATAAAACCTGGCGTTGGAGGTATGGGGGGGGGCGGCTTACACTTGCGGTGGACAGCAGGGGGGTGGCTGGATGCAGTAGCCATCGCAGATCAAGCAGTAGAACTTGTCATCGACTGCCATTCGCCAGGGTAATGGGCCTCTCCTACACGCACACACATCACACTGAGCGGCACACACGTCACACCGAGGAGCACACACGTCAAACCAAGGAGCACGCACATCACACATCCAGCGGCACGCACGTCACACACCGAGGAGCACGCATGTCACACACCGAGCAGGTTGCACAGGTCTCCTTTATCAAGACAAACGTGGAGCAGATTACAACTACAACTCTTCTACGCCTGTCACAATGCCCCCCTTTCCCCCCCTCCCCAGTTTATGGGGGGCCGCGGGCCTCACTCCCCCCCTTCGCGTCAGCCCCCCCTAATAAATGGTCCGGTTGCATTGTGAATGCACCACTCGAATGACGTGCAGTCCCGTGGCGCACTGTAACGGGCTCGTGATTTACTCACTAAAATTCAATGTAAAAAAATAAAAACGATCCCAAGACATTATTTAAAATAAAGTATGGCCATCGTGTGTCAGCATCACAGGCGAAAATTGGCATGTAAAAAAAACTTCACTGCGACTCACTCAATTGGGATTGCTCGCAGCAAACAGCACCTGACCTGCTTGCAGGTTAGGTGCTGAATAACCGTGTGTCACACAGAGAACAGTTGCCACTGAGGGTGCCCTTTTCAAATGCTTGAGATGAGATGTGATTATCGCGTGTAACTGTGCACACTTAAATTTTTTTATAAGCGAACTATTATCGTTTCAGGTGGCAGGGTGGTGCAGCGGTGATCTTTGACCCTCGCAACAAGAAGGGCCTTGGTTAATTATCCGACTGGCACTTTGCGGAGTTTTCTACGTTCTCCCCTTTATTCTGTATAGGTTATCCAGTTTGCTCACGTAGCTAGAAAACACACTATCACAATGTAACTGGGTATTGGCCAAGCATCCCAATGCTAAAGTTACCTGCAAATTACTTCACTGGGATGACACTCGGCAGCAGAGCCGGATGATGGCATTGCTGGGGCCCTATGCCATTGTCAAGCTTAAGAGGCCCCTTCTATGAATGCCTGTATATTTTTGTCAGCAGAATGAAAATAACTGCTTTGGAGAGTCTTTTTTTCTCACCGATCTTAATTTTTTTAAACAATTATGTTAAAACTCGAAACCTCGTGTCCATTTCTTGTTTCGTATTTAGAGCCCCCCCCCCCTCTCTTAATGCGAGGCCCTAAGCTGTAAGTGTAGCCGGTGTGAGCTCGCCTGTGATGAATCACACGTATAATTGTGCACTCTTATTTTCTATGGGTGGCCAGGAGAATTTATTATTATTCAAGTGAATGCAATGGTGATCAGGGGATTGGACCCAGAGCCCCACGTACACAGTAGAGTACAAGGGAACGCCCACAGTACAGATTTGAGCTGACCTCCAGATTGAGAAATTGAACTGTGTTATGACTTGGAGGGTGTTTCTGAACGCGATTGTGACCGACCCGTCCCGAAGGGAGGAGAGGGGACAGGGTGGACCGGCTGCATGAGCTTACTCTTTGGCACTGCACAGCACAACATCGCCTCCCTACTGCAAAAAACTCGGCAGGACCCTCCTGAAAATAAAAGTCTTCGGAATCAGTGAGGCCTGTCCTTCGGAGGACAGGCGTAGTCTTGGTCGTCACAAGCGAACATTTGTTTCTCCACATTAATTTGTATCCCCGGGTTACCATCAGGGCTGGGCGCTGCAAGCTTAGCTTCTGAGATCTGATGAGACTGGTAGCCGTTTTTTAAAAGGTAATTTCGGCATCTGGAGCCCAAGCATGCAACAACTTTATGCAACTTCTTGGTTCTTTCGGTAAAGTCACGTAGAATGGAAATAAAATAATAAAAATTAAATATAATAAAAAATAAAATTCTCACGACGTTTCGGCCACAACACAAGTAGCCTTCTTCAGGTGAAGGAACAGAACTGTCGGGACGACAGCGCTTCAATAACTGCTGCTAAATTTCGCAGCGTCTTTTAAGCTAGGTGGGAGAGGTAAAGCGCCTTGACAAAGGAGTTTACATATCAAACAGGATAATTTAGCATTGAAATAGCTGTGTTAAAGTGTTGGATCAGCAGGGTGGTAAAGTCAGAAATTAGCATGTAACTGGGAGATTAGCATGATGTTAATGTGAGGGATTAGCATGCGACTGGTCACGGAAATAGCTATGTTAAAGTCAAAGTTTACATATCAACAGAGGCATTTAGTATATGGACGCTAATGGACTGCAACAACCCAACTATTATACAATGAAACCGATGTGAAAAAAAAACTAAGTATAAACTACATCAATATAATAAATGTACTCAATATATTCTTCAATAAGTTGAGCTATAAACATAAAGTAACTGGGTATACACTACACTATATAATGAATACCATATAGTAAACGAATTAATACAACTAAAATATAAACTACATCAATGTTATCAATAAACTCTATATACTCTCCAATCAGCTGAGCTACTAACAATAAGTCATTATACATTACAATGCCATATGGCGAAAAAATGGGTGGCGGTTTTTTCCTTCTTTCCAACGTTAGCACCACGGAGAGCGACGAGCCTCGTTCAGACGGACGAGTCCATCCATGCTCGGAACGGAGGAGGGGGGAGAAACAGCCACGATGCGCTGCTCTGTCCTGTGTTGCGTTACAACCATGCCATAAACTAGACTACTATACATTGTAATGTTATACCTTCCAATCTAAACTACATTGTATTATATCGTATACACAGCCCAATGTAAGCTCTAACATTATGCATGATATTGATATGTCTCCAACTAAAATTTTCCAACATTACACGACTATTCACCATAATATACACTACCATAGACAAACCCACCCTTGAATTATAAAATGCGTTACTTTACACTACCCTATACTTTAGACTGTAAAATGTTAGACTTGTAATATTACACTATGTATTATTCTACCAACCCTACTGTATACCACACTGCTGTATATTCACTATACAATTACGATACTATATATTGCCTTATGAATTATGTTAAACATTACAATGTTATACTATTTATTATTATATAACATGCTATAAACCATACCATTGACCGTCGTGTGAAAGGTATTAAGAGGCAGTGCCAGTGAATGGACTGCGGTCTGAAAGTCACCATAAAATACAATCAATTAAGAACCGAAATGGTTTATAACATCTTTCCAATGGTTACTAAGCCAGAATCCATCTTCTCGGTTGAAATTGTCTCTATGTTTGTATATGTGGATGGCCTCATGAACGAATCTCTCATGGTAGCCGGATGGCTTGCAGAGAACGTCCGTCTTGGAGAAGTCAATGTCATGTGAGCCCACTGAATTATAACAGTGATCTGCCACGGCTGAGGTGTTCGTCCTACCATGTTTCAAGTCTGCTTTATGTTCACGGATGCGGTCCGAGATATGTCGTTTGTTTTCTCCAATGTAACTGCTACCACAGAGGCAACTTAGTTTGTAGAGGCCCGGGTACTGTATGTCTGGAACCACATCTTTTACAGACGGAACCAGATCACGGATTTTATGTACTGTGTTGAATCGGACCTGGATCTAGTGTTTATTCAGGATTTTGGAGATCTTTTTTGTGACCCCCGCAATGTAGGGTAAGGTGATGGTTTTGAATGGCTCCTCAAGAGGATTCTTCTTCATGGCTGGAGTGATGGCTTTGCGGATTGTGTAGTCGGAGTAACCATTAGCCTTGAGAGCTTGGTGTACGTGCTTGAGTTCACTGGCAATGTGTTCCTGGTCGGAAATGCATTGGGCACAATGGTATAGAGTCTTGATGAGGGAGTTCTTCTGGGATGGATGGTGGTGGGAATCCGGTTTTAAGTAAGCATCCGTATGGGTAGCTTTCCTGTAGACAGAGTGGCTCATTGAACCATCAGGTCTCCTTTTAATAAGGACATACACAAAGGGTAGCTTGCCATCTTTTTCGACTTCCATGGTAAATCTGATGGCTGGGTGTATGGAATTGATGTGGTCGAGGAATTGGTCTAGAGCAGGCCGGCCATGTGGCCAGATGATAAAAGTGTCATCCACGTACCTCTTCCATAACGTCGGGCGTAGAGTGGCAGTCTGGATGGCATCAGTTTCAAATTTCTCCATGAAAACGTTGGCCCCCGTGGTGCCTCACCACAAACGTGGGGCCCGGTCAGCCGCGTCGACTGTCGTGATCGCGTACAGGTGGTGAAACTGCCACACATGAACCATGATACCTTGCTGATCTCGTGTCAAGGAGAATAAACCAGCAGCCCGTCGTTAGCAATGGGAATGATCGGTAAGGGAACACATTGGGCTCTACAGAGGCACTCCACTATTATACACCACTACTATACAGTAAACATTGGGCTCTATGGAGGCCTGTCGTTAAGGGATTACTCGTTAACATGGGGTGGTCGTTAAGAGGGGTTCTATTGTATATAACAAGTTTAAATATTTAATAAGTTAATAGAGAGTACTCAACTGAGATGGCGGAGGAGTTTGCTAAACTCACAATACAAAGGCCACTGTCCCAGCCTCTGTGGTTGGACCATCTCTAGCTCCACCCACCTACCTTGATGCACCTATCTCAGGCCTATATAAGACCTTGTCTCAGCAACTTTCTCTCTCACCTGACCTGAAGACGATTGCTTGTGTTGCGATCGAAACGTCGTGATATTTTTATTATTTTTTATCTACGTGGCTTTACCAAAGGACCCATAGAATATAATCATAAACAGGTTACGTCCTCTACATGGACCCCCCCCCCTCATTATTAATCATGAGCAGGTGACGTCCTCCAAATGGACACCCCCCTCCATTGATAATAATTAGCGGGTGACATCACTCCACATGGGGGGGGGGGGGGGGGCGAGGTGCCTCCTCTCCCCTCCTAAGCGTCAACTTATAAACTCACTACAAAGGCAGAACCCTCACGTAACGCGATCTCCATAACGCTATTGAGACATCTAAGTAAAAAGAACGTCATGATGAACAAGGGATTATAACCTTTAAATGAAATAGGTCTGTCACCGCGGCCTTACAAATTGCACACAAATGGATGCAATGAATATCACTTCGCGGTCTGCTTTGCGCTTGCAAGTTTCAGATTTACTGCAATACACCCATGCTTGGACGGGCAAAAGGCTAGTAAACAAATAATCCCCTCGCCCGCTCCCCACCACGATATCACACAATGATATAGTACTTCCTTGTACAGTATACCCAATAAAGACCAAATCTAATCCCCATGATAGGTAAATTGATATACATAGAGCTTGCCGGCGATAGGTCTAAACCACGAACTATGAACTCGTGATATTCAAGGGTCTCCCGTATTTGGAGTTTGCATGTTCTCCCCATGGTCACGTTGAGATAATGACTGCTATGAATTTTCACATAAGCCACCTCGTTGAGCAATCATATGTGGCCAGGCTGCTTCTGGAAAAGAGCTATATATCTCAGTGGGCCTTACCTGGTCAAATAAAAATAGGTTGCTTACCAGGAGTTGAATGGATTGCCACATCACAGGGATGTGAGGAATCGCAGCATGGAGAGGGCTTCATCCAGCAGTGGATTGAGTGTTCTTGTTGAAACGTGTGTATTTAATATTTCTCTGATGTTCTTTTAGTCTCGTGCTGATCATTCGTCCTGTTTGCCCAACATAACATTTGCCACAAGTGCAGTTAATCCTGTACAAACCTTCTGTTGATAGCTTAGGTAATACATATTTTATACCAGAAGTCGAGTTCAAGAAACATAAGTACGTTTTTATTTCAACTGAAATGTATATATACATATATAAATATACATGTCCATACAACCACGTCTCAATGTCTATGTCTGGGAGAACACGCTAGTTTCTCCCTCTGTGGAGTCTCCACCACTTTTCTTTCTTCTTGTTTCCCAGCTCCTCGTCTTGGTGCTCCTTCCCTCTGTCTCCTCCTCGTTCATTCTCCTCTTCATCTTTCTCCAGCTGCCGTGTGCAGCACATGAAGCTCCAAATTGCCCAACGCCAGAAACTGTTCTTTCTCTCTCCCTTAGAAGATGGGATGTGCTTAATCTCTTTCTTCTCTTCCTGAACACTCTCTGCCCTCCAAGGTTGCTCACATCTTCCTTCCTCATTCACCACTTCCTGCTTTGTATCGTCTTCAATCGTGTCGACCTCCTTCAGCTCTACCTCATTTGCCTCTAACTCAATAGCTCCTACTTCTTTTGCGTCTACCTCTATTGCCTCTACATCATTCGCCTCTACCAAAATCGCCTCACTCTCCTCCACCTCAATATCCCCTACCTCCACTTCTACCTCAATCACCTCTACGTCATTCGCCTCTAACTCATTCGGCTCTAACTCCATAACCACCTCCTGCTTGGCCTCTCCCTCAATCTCCTCTACCTCTTTTGCCACTTCCTGGATGGCATCTACTTCATATGCCTCAACCTCATTTGCCCCTTCCTGCTTTATCTCCTCCACCACGTTCTCAACTTTTTTTGCCATTTCCTGTTTGGCCTTTAGCTCATTCGTGTCTACCTCATTGATCAAGACCTGCATGGCCTTTTCTTCGATCGTGTCGACCTGAATTGCCTCGACCTGTTTCACCAATTCCTGCTTTGTATCTCTCTCAATCCCTTCTACGACATTGGCCACAACCTCTTTCACCACTTCCTGCTTGGCCACTGCATCTACCTCAATCACCGCTACCTCTACCTCACTCGCCACTTCCTTCTTGGGCTCTACATCATTCCCCTCTCCCTCAATCTCGTTTTCCTTCATCTCTTCTACTTCCCGAAATTTCATCTCAGTCCTTCGTAGCTTCCTATTCCTACGTTTCCTCTGAACACAATCCTCTCCCTCTTTCTTTGTCTCCACAATATTCTCAACTTTCTCCGCCACTTCCTGTTTGGCCATTCCCTCATTCCGATCGACCTCATTTGGCTCTACCTCTTCTGCTAATACCTGTTTTGCATCTCTCTCAATCCCCTCTATGACATTGGCTGCTATATCTTTCACCACTTCCTGCTTGGCCACTGCTTCTACCTCAATCACCGCTACCTCTGCCTCATTCGCTAATTCCCGCTTGTCATCTCCTTCTAATACCTCTACCTTATTCAACTCTACCTCATTCATCACATCCTCCAAAGCCACTGCCTCAATCATCTCTACCTCAATCGTCCCAACCTCCACCACTTCCTGCATGGGCTCTCCCTCACTCCCCTCTCTCTCAGCCACCTCTTCTTTCACTGTCTCCAGAACTTTCTTCTTGTTCTTGTGTTTCTTCCTATTCCTATGTTTCCTCTGAACACCATCCTCTCCCTCTTTCTTTGTCTCCACAACATTATCAACTTTCTTAGCCACTTCCTGTTTGGCTATTCCCTTATTCCCATTTACCTCACTTGCCTCTACCTCTTCACCTAAGTTCTCCTTGGCATCTCTCTCAATCACTTCTACGACATTGGCCACTACCTCTTTCACAAATTCCTGTGTGGCCACTGCATCTACCTCAATCACCGCTACCTCTACCTCACTCGCCACTTCCTTCTTGGGCTCTCCATCATTCCCCTCTCCCTCAATCTCGTTTTCCTTCATCTCTTCTACTTCCCGCACTTTCATCTCAGTCCTTCGTAGCTTCCTATTCCTACGTTTCCTCTGAACACCATCCTCTCCCTCTTTCTTTGTCTCCACAACATTATCAACTTTCTTAGCCACTTCCTGTTTGGCCATTCCCTCATTCCCATCTACCTCACTTGCCTCTACCTCTTTCCCTAAGTCCTCCTTGGCATCTCTCTCAATCCCTTCTATGACATTGGCCACTACCTCTTTCACAAATTCCTGTGTGGCTACTGCATCTACCTCAATCACCGCTACCTCTACCTCATTCGCCTCTACCTCACTCGCCACTTCCTTCTTGAGCTCTACATCATTCCGCTCTCTCTCAATCTCGTTTACCTTCATCTCTCCTACTTCCCGAACTTTCATCTCAATCCTTCGTAGCTTCCTATTCCTATGTTTCCTCTGAACACAATCCTCTCCCTCTTTCTTTGTCTCCAAAACATTCTCAACTTTCTCCGCCACTTCCTGTTTGGCCATTCCCTCATTCCCATCGACCTCATTTGGCTCTATCTCTTCTGCTAATACCTGTTTTGCATCTCTCTCAATCCCCTCTATGACATTGGCCGCTATATCTTTCACCACTTCCTGCTTGGCCACTGCTTCTACCTCAATCACCGCTACCTCTGCCTCATTCGCTAATTCCCGCTTGCCATCTCCTTCTAACACCTCTACCTTATTCAACTCTACCTCATTCATCACATCCTCCAAAGCCACTGCCTCAATCATCTCTACCTCAATCGTCCCAACCTCCACCACTTCCTGCATGGGCTCTCCCTCACTCCCCTCTCTCTCAGCCACCTCTTCTTTCACTGTCTCCTCCAGAACTTTCTCCTTGTTCTTATGTTTCTTCCTATTACTACGTTTCCTCTGAACACCATCCTCTCCCTCTTTCTTTGTCTCCACAACATTATCAACTTTCTTAGCCACTTCCTGTTTGGCTATTCCCTCATTCCCATCTACCTCACTTGCCTCTACCTCTTTCCCTAAGTCCTCCTTGGCATCTCTCTCAATCCCTTCTACGACATTGGCCACTATCTCTTTCACATATTCCTGTGTGACTACTGCATCTACCTCAATCACCGCTACCTCTACCTCATTCGCCTCTAGCTCACTCGCCACTCCCTTCTTGGGCTCTCCATCATTCCCCTCTCTCTCAATCTCGTTAACCTTCATCTCTTCTACTTCCCGAACTTTCATCTCAATCCTTCGTAGCTTCCTATTCCTTGGATCAGTTGTCCGTTTTTTTGGAATACTTGATGCGGCTCAGCCTCACCCAGACTCAACCTCCAGCGGCCCCCAGGTAAGTTGAGTTTGAGACCCCTGCTTTAGCACCAACCCTTAAATGCCAACTCTTAAACGCCAACCCTTAAACACCAACCCTTAAACACCAACGTTTAAACGTCAACCCTTAAACGTCAACCCTTAAAACTCAAACCCTGAAACGCCAACCATTAAACGTCAACCCTCATACGGCAAAGCTTAAACGCAAACTCTTAAACACCAACTCTTAAACGCCAACCCTTAAACACCAACTGTTAAACACCAACCCTCAAACCCCAAACATTTTACATCAAGCCTTAAACACCAAGCCTTAAAAGCCAACCCTTAAACACCAACCCGTAAACACCAACCATTGAAAGCCAACCCTTAAACACCAACGCTTAAACACCAACCCTTAAACTCCAACCCTTGAAAGCCAACCCTTACAAACCGACCCTTAAACGCCAACATTTAAACACCAACCCTTTAGCACCAACCCTTAAATGCCAACTCTTAATCGCCAAACCTTAAACACCAACCCTTAAACGCCAACCCATGAACGCCAACCCTTAAACGCCAACCCTTAAACGCCAACCCATTAACGCCAACCCTTAAACGCCAACCCTTAAACACCAACCCTTAAACGCCAACCCATAAACGCCAACCCTTAAAGGCCAACCATTAAACACAAACGCATAAACGCCAACCCTTAAATGCCAACTCTTAAACGCCTACCCTTAAACACCAAACTTTAAACGCCAACCCTTCAACGCCAACCCTTAAAACTCAAACCCTTAAACGCCAACCATTAAACGTTAATCCTCATACGGCAAAGCTTAAACGGAAACTCTTAAACACCAACTCTTAAACCCAACCCTTAAACATCAACCGTTAAACACCAACCCTCAAACCCCAAACATTTAACACCAAGCCTTAAACAACAACCCTTGAACACCAACCCTTAAACGCCATCCCTTAAACACCAACCCTTTAGCACCAACCCTTAAATGCCAACTCTTAAACGCCAACCCTTAAACACCAACGCATAAACGCCAACCCTTAAATGCCAATTCTTAAATGCCAACCCTTAAACGCCATCCCTTAAACAGCAACCCTTTAGCACCAACCCTTAAATGCCAACACTTAAACATCAACCGTTAAACACCAACCCTCAAACCCCAAACATTTAACACCAAGCCTTAAACACCAACCCTTGAACACCAACCCTTAAACGCGAACCCTTAAACACCAACCCTTAAACACCAACCATTGAAAGCGAACCCTTAAACACCAACGCTTAAACACCAACCCTTTAAACACCAACCCTTAAATGCCAACCCTTAAACACCAACGCTTAAACACAAACCCTTGAAAGCCAACCCTTACAAACCGACCCTTAAACGCCAACATTTAAACACCAACCCTTAAACACCAACCCTTAAACGCCAACCCTTAAACGCCAACCCTTAAACACCAACCCTTAAACACCAACGCATAAACGGCAACCCTTAAATGCCAAGCCTTAAACGCCATCCCTTAAACACCAACCCTTTAGCACCAACCCTTAAATGCCAACTCTTAATCGCCAACCCTTAAACGCCAACCCTTAAACGCCAACCCTTAAAACTCAAACCCTTAAACGCCAACCATTAAACGTCAACCCTCATACGACAAAGCTTAAATGGAAACTCTTAAACACCAACTCTTAAACCCCGACCCTTAAACATCAACCGTTAAACACCAACCCTCAAACCCCAAACATTTAACACCAAGCCTTAAACACCAACCCTTGAACACCAACCCTTAAACGCCAACCCTTAAACGCCAACCCTTAAACACCAACCCTTAAACACCAACCATTGAAAGCCAACCCTTAAACACCAACGCTTAAACACCAATCCTTAAACACCAACCCTTGAAAGCCAACCCTTACAAACCGACCCTTAAACACCAACACTTAAACGCCAACTTTTAAACACCAACCCTTAAACACCAACCCTTAAACGACAACTTTTAAACACCAACCCTTAAACGCCAACCCTTAAACGCCAACCCTTAAACACCAACGCATAAACGCCAACCCTTAAATGCCAACCCTTAAACGCCATCCCTTAAACACCATCCCTTAAACAGAAACCCTTTAGCACCAACCCTTAAATGCCAACACTTAAACGCCAACCCTTAAACACCAACCTTTAAACGCCAACCCTTAAACGCCAACCCTTAAACGCCAATCATTAAACGTCAACCCTTAAACGCCAACCCTTAAACGCCAACCATTAAACGTCCACCCTCATACGGCAAAGCTTAAACGCAAACTCTTAAACACCAACTCTTAAACGCCAACCCTTAAACACCAACCGTTAAACACCAACCCTCAAACCCCAAACATTTAACATCAAGCCTTAAACACCAACCCTTAAATGCCAACCCTTAAACACCAACCCGTAAACACCAACCATTGAAAGCCAACCCTTAAACACCAACGCTTAAACACCAACCCTTAAACTCCAACCCTTGAAAGCCAACCCTTACAAACCGACCCTTAAACACCAACATTTAAACACCAACCCTTAAACACCAACCCTTAAACGCCAACCCTTAAACGCCAACCCTTAAACACCAACCCTTAAACACCAACGCATAAACGGCAACCCTTAAATGCCAACCCTTAAACGCCATCCCTTAAACACCAACCCTTTAGCACCAACCCTTAAACACCAACCCTTGAACACCAACCCTTAAACGCCAACCCTTAAACGCCAACCCTTAAACACCAACCCTTAAACACCAACCATTGAAAGCCAACCCTTAAACACCATCGCTTAAACACCAATCCTTAAACACCAACCCTTGAAAGCCAACCCTTACAAACCGACCCTTAAACACCAACACTTAAACGCCAACTTTTAAACACCAACCCTTAAACGCCAACTTTTAAACACCAACCCTTAAACACCAACCCTTAAACGCTAACCCTTAAACGCCAACCCTTAAACACCAACGCATAAACGCCAACCCTTAAATGCCAACCCTTAAACGCCATCCCTTACACACCAACCCTTTAGCACCAATCCTTAAATGCCAACTCTTAAACGCCAACCCTTAAACGCCAACCTTTAAACGCCAACCCTTAAACATCAACCCTCATAGGGCAAAGCTTAAAACTCAAACCCTTAAACGCCAATCACTAAACGTCAACTCTTAAACGCCAACCATTAAACATCAACCCTCATACGGCAAAGCTTAAACGGAAACTCTTAAACACTAACTCTTAAACGCCAACCCTTAAACACCAACCCTTAAACACCAACCCTTAAACACCAACCCTTAAACGCCAAACCTTAAACACCAACCCATAAACACCAACCATTGAAAGCCAACCCTTAAACACCAACGCTTAACCACCAATCCTTAAACAACAACCCTTGAAAGCCAACCCTTACAAATCGACCCTTAAACACCAACACTTAAACGCCAATTTTTAAACACCAACCCTTAAACACGAACCCATAAACGCCAACCCTTAAACGCCAACCCTTAAACGCCAACCCTTAAACGCCAACCCTTAAACACCAACCTTTAAACGCCAACCCTTAAAACTCAAACCCTTAAACGCCAACCATTAAACATCAACCCTTAAACGTCAACCCTTAAACGCCAACCCTGAAACGCCAACCCTTAAAAGCCAAACATGAAACACCAAAAATTTTACGCCAACCCATAAAACAAACCCTTAAACACAACCCTTAAACACCAATTAATCGCCAAACCTTACACAGCAACCGTTACACGCCATCCCTTAAACGCATATTTCTTATGTTAAGGGCTTGTGTTTAAAGGATGGCCCTTAAACGCAAACCTTTAACCACAACCCTTAAACGCCAACCATTGTGTTTAAGCATTTACGTTTCAGGGTTGGTCCTTAAATCAAAACCCTAAAATGCATATACTTGAGTTTAAGGTTTGCGTTAAAGACGCAAAACTTTAAACATAACCCTTGAACGCCATTCCTTAAATGGCAACCCTAAAACGCATTTGCTTGTGTTAAGGATTTGCGTTGAAGGGAAGGCCTTAAAACGCAAACCTTAAAACATAACCCTTACACACCAAACCTTTATTAACGCCAACCCTTACATAGCAACATGCAAACCCTAAAACGCATATACTTGAGTTTAAGGGCTTGCATTTAAAGGTTGGCCCTTAAATGCAAACCTTTAAACACAACCCTTAAACATCAACTCTTAAACGCCAACCCTTAAAAGCCAACCATCAAGCACCATCAATTTAACGCCAACCCATAAAACCATCCCTTTCACACATGGAACACCAACAATTTAACGCCAACCCATAAAACCATCCCTTTCACACATGGAACACCAACAATTTAACGCCAACCCATAAAACAAACCCTTAAACACAATCCTTAAACACCAATTAATCGCCAAACCGTACACAGCAACTGTTACACGCCAACCCTTAAACGCATATTTCTTGTGTTAAGGGTTTGCGTTTAAAGGTTGGCCCTTAAACGCAAACCTTTAACCATAACCCTTAAACGCCAACTCTTAAACACAAACCCTCAAACTTTCAACCCTTAAACGCATACCATTGTGTTTCAGCATTTACGTTTCAGGGTTGGCCCTTAAATGCAAACCCTAAAACGCATATACTTGAGATTAAGGGTTTGCGTTAAAGGATGGCCCTTAAACGCAAACCTTTAAACACAACCCTTAAACATCAACTCTTAATACGCCAACCTTTTAACGCCAACCCTTAAAAGCCAAACATGAAACACCAAAAATGTAATGCCAACCCATAAAACAAACCTTTAAACACAACCCTTAAACGCCAACCATTGTGTTTCAGGATTTACGTTTCAGGGTTGGCCCTTAAATCCAAACCCTAAAACGCATATACTTGAGTTTAAGGTTTGC